CGCTGCCATCTGTACGACGAGAAACCGAGTTATCAACTTTGCATAGTCGATGATACACCATTTTGTTTCACGATGTTCTGCGTGTCTACTTTGAAGACGATATTTGGAGTAAAGTATAGCGGTAAAAAATCAATCGAAAAACGAAAAACAATAACACGTAACTTACCGCTTGCGAAGCTTATAGACCGGTAAAGACTTCCTTTGTTGTTGTAAACTAATATTTCCTTTATCCACATTTTCTGCTTGAACGTTTTGTTGATTATCCTCGAATTTTTGGATTTTGCTCGAACTTTCGTTAAATACAACGGTGGTAGGACGTTTCGGTGCTAATTTCGAGAAACTCGAAGTACCCATAACGATATATTTCGAATCTGCGTTGTCGTGGACCCCCATGTCGACGATAATTAAAGTAAAAACCGCGATACTCCTGATAGTAAATGTGCTCACGGGTACGCACGTGTTGCACACTACAGCTGTGTATAAATAAGCGTCTTGAGTCTTGACAGGCGTCACAGCCAATGGCGTCGCCTCGTCGTATGTCAAACGCTTCTTTTTCGAGTACGATTATTCGTACTTTAATCGAATTGATTTTTCTCGTGTGCAATGATTTACAATCAATTCGCGTGTTATTCGGTAGAAAACACGAGTATACGGTATTTAAAGAAAATTTGCCTGAGAAACGATAATTTCTTGTTTTCAGCAGTACGTATTCTTTAATTGCGTGAGAATTATTTTTTACGTATAAAATTATTTTTGCCAAGAAAATAATAAACATTTCTTAGATAAAAAATGTTTTTAATACGTCTTTTCTATGATATATTTTATAACAAAAGCAAATTCATAAACTTTTATTTGTTATTCCAGTTGTATGACAAAAAAATTATTATGAGAAGAATATAGCGTATAATATAGCGTAACGTATACTACAATAACGTTGCAATCAATGCATGATAACTTAATCTTCTTAACTTTTGCTTTGAGTTAACTGTACGTTACTAAATGTGCGTTAAAGTACTCTTATATGCCACGATTGTTACATGTTACGAGTCTTAAACGATAAGTAATTTGAAATATTTATGTAGGTTTTCTTTTAAATAAGACGTAGAAAATAATTCTTGATTTGTTCGTGTTAAAAACACGTTATTTGATGGTATTTCATAAAATCGTATTATTATTAACATTCGTAATTACAATAAATGCCAAAAACAAATGATATATAAGTATATCTTTGCCACTTGTCAATCATTGGCGTATTAATTTGTCGACGTAAGATCCATTTTTCTATCTGTTACAAATGAATTATATGTAATTCGAGCTATAATTCAAACGTATAGATTACGAAATTATCACAGATTAATGCTGTGTAAGAGGAAGACACAGTGAGCAACTCTTTTACCGAGGTTTTAAATGAATATAGCTATTTATATTTTAAATTCATCTAAATAAAATGCATCATCGTAATAGCCGGTGAATTGGGGTTTTCACGTTAGGTGGTACCTAAAAGTATTCAACGTATTAACGGTATTAAAAGTATTTTTAAATCGTTTTAAACGAGATTGCATGATTACCATTCCTCCAATGCGACAGAGATAACGATTTCTAATGCTAATGTCAGATTGTGGTTGTAAAAGATCGTCAGTCGATAAATCAGAAGTTGATTCCGGAGCCAGTAACTTTTCTCTTTCGAGACTTTCCGGTGTACGTCGAATTTCTTCGTATTTTTCTCTCTGACCTGGCGTCATATTCAGATAGCCACCACTAGTTGCTACATCCGACACCCAGATTGCAACAGCGGTTATTAACGAAACTATTAAAGCGTTAATTAGAAATTAGTATACAGACATTTAGATCTCATCGAAATAGCAATGCGAAGGAAAGACATACTCCACAGCCAACCCAAGAAAAACATTTCAAGCATGAAGTATCCACCCCGGTCAACGATTATACCAGCTAATATCGAAGTTGTAGCCAAGCCCAAATTTTGTACAGCCTGTGCACTGTAAATAAAGGATTTTGTAAGATTAACTGTCAAATATTTCAAAGATATTTAAAGACTGCGTTAAACTTTACTTACATTCCGTAAGCAGTACCAAGCTGATATTCTGGGGTAACAAGTGCGATCAGTGGCCATAAACTACTAGCAAGCATAGAGTATGCTAATCCCATAAGAATCATGCATACATAAGGATTTATATATGTGAATGCGAGTAGTCCATGAGCTACTATAGTTGCAAGAATACTGACAAACATCCAAGATACGTTCTTCCCAGTTCTATCGACAAGATAGCCCAAGATGGGAGACGCAATAGCTGATATGGAATACACGAGAGAGTTAACCATATTCGCGTTTGATGGTTCGAATGCGTACTTTCGTTCGAAAAATACTCTAAAGGAAAGAATAACTTAACGTAGTATGTAATTACGTAAAATACAATTATACAAATTCCTTATTGGTCGTACTTACTTTCCTAATGCGATGAACGGGAATATCGCAACGTAATAAGCAATGCAAATGACGGCGATCAACCAAAATATTAGTTTAAAATCTTTAATATCGGTTAAACTAACGACTTCGGTTTCTTGCCCCTCTCCCCTTCTTAATAATCTCTCAGCACGCTTATCCATAATACCCAGTAAACATGCACAGATCATAGAACCCACACAGGTAAGAGCAGCAAGAAAGAGAACAATGCCGATACATTCCGGCCCTTTATAGTATTGAGACACGTAATTATAAATCGGTTCCATTACTAAAAAGTTCACGGTTGATCCGACTCTAGCGAAACTTAGCTGCAAACCAAACACCAAGTTCAGTTCCTTTCCTTTGAACCATAAAACAGCATAATTATTTTGAGCGACGGCCAATGATTCTGCGCCAACGCTGCAAAGGTATGGAAATTAATAACGGAATCATAAAAGCTGTTCCAAGCTTATAGAGAAAGACATACCCAAAAACAAAGCGACCAACCATCATCACCCAAAACTCGTTAACCATAGCTCCAGCTGCAAATATAATCTGACCGATCAGCGTAAGTCCCATATATATAATTGTTCCTAAACGTATGCCGAATACACTGTCCAATAAAAATCCGCCAATAAAGCATAAAATCACGTTTGGCCATGAGTAAATAGAATACAATAAAACAAATTTACTAGTTGACATCTGCAAGTCGACTTTAAAGTCATCTTGCAAAGCACCAGGATTGTCAAAGCAGAAGTAAGAACCTGCAAATAAAAGCATTTCGTTTGATTAATTGATACGCAGATAATGAGATGCAGTCGCATGATAAGCGAATCATTGATCGCTTAAGAGTGCTCGAGAAACGTGACTAATATATTGGGTTGGCAACTAAGTGATTGCGGATTTTGTCATTAGGTGGTATCCTAAAACCCGCAATCACTTCGTTGCCAACCGAATACATGCGATTCGAACTCGCGCAAATGCATTTTACATGCCTTGTTGGTATCGGAAACATCAACAAGTGGGGGGAAAAAGTAAAATATCCCGGACGAAAGAATACCGACAAGATGATACGGCTTGTCTCGGGCCATGTGCAAAATGGACGGTGTCTTATCTTATTCCATTCATAAATGCATGTTACGTTGTATACGTGTATTGAGCATTTTATGTCACTTGGAAAACCAATAGAAAGTAACTAAAGCACGATTAATAAAATTTTCACAGAACAATTACTCAAAATAGTTTCTTGCAAATCAATAGAAAAGAAAAGTAATAAGTATTGATTAAAAGTAAGAGTACAATTTTACATTATTTCTTAAAAAGCTTATTTCCCTAGTATTACAAAAAATGTATAAATGAAGTATATAAATCATTAAAAAAAACGTTACATAAATACGATGGCAATAGAGGAAACTAGAATAATCAAATGTACGTGATTGTTTAGTTTATTGTCAAATAACGAGAATCTCATAATTAAATACATTTTCGATGTAATGATAATAACAATTGAAAAAAATTACGCTTCCTATAGTTTTATAAGTTCATTAGTATTTCATTATGATACGTGGCAGATAATAAACGTCAAAGTACGGGCTTAAATTTTCGTGAAAAAAATATCAAACCGACATATTATAAAATTTAATAAATAAAATTATTGCAGGTTGCGATTGAAATTACTTTACGAAAAACTTCATCGGAAAGAAATAACAGATATTAGTCATCCCGATAACAGAGTTCAAACTCGAGTTTAAACATTCAATGAGGTCATAATGTACCGAAACAAAAGCGATCAGATATAAATAATGAACAATGGCTACTTGATCACGTTGTAAAGTTAATTGAGCGATAACAGTGACAATCGTACCAAAGCCTAATAGGCACATCAATGCCAGGCCAAGAATTTTGTACAGTGGCTTTTTAGGACTGCAGAATCCTTGTAAGGCGATCTCATCATCGGATCTCTCCAAAGTGGTCTCTGGACTTTCTAATATGCCTCCTTCCATCGTTACGTTTCCAGTCGTAGCGATATTTTCGTGTTTACAAGCGTCTGGCACAGCCACAGGTGCCCCGAATTGCAAATGTTCACTCGAGTTCACCGTACCGATCCATCACACACTGATCGAACACACACGAGCTAATCTCTTTGTAAAATAAGATAGCTGCGACTCGATTAAGAAAAGAGAATGCAATAGGAGATCAGCTCGTGCGTGCTGCCGATTAACTACTTGAACAAGTTAGGTTCTCTGTCAGTCGTCGCATTGCTAATCTGTCAATCACATGCGTCACGCAACAGAACTAACGTAACGTAAGTCACGAAACTACATGATCGTGCGCGAAACCAGAGAATACCAAAAGATCGACAAAAAAATCTCTATTCGATGGGATAGACGAACATCGGCATCAGTCGGAATTGCTGCCAACAATTTGATGCGTCTGTGACGCTGGTTTTTCAGCTTGTGGCGCCCTCATTAAAAACACTAGTAGACGATCGGTCGGTAAGAATGTCACGAAGTAAATAATCGTAGCTGACTTTTAAAAATCTATTTGAGAAACATAATTTATTGAAGGTACATATTTGTTACTTAACGTTAAGCGTGTATATTATATGAAAATTATCTTATATTTAAAAATATAGATAAAAAAAAATGACATATGGAAAGATCAACCTCGGCTTATTAAGAAGCTACTTCTTCCGTCGCACCTTCGAACTCGAGCTTTACTTGACACTCCTCTGGTAGTCCCTCAACATCCACTTCCGATTCCGGCGCATTTAACATGTTCAACGTGACTTCAGACGATTTCCCCATTAATCCTTGATTTCCTGTTTGTTGCTTCGATACTTGTTGAACTGCCGATTGTTGCGTCGACTGTTGAGAAAGCATTTGTTGTCTGATCGGCACGCCAGCTTCCTCAAAAGCTTTCTTCTTTAGCGTTGTTCGAATTTGAGAGCTAGAACGCCGAAACGACCGGTTAATTTTGGGTCGAGACTGACGCATAGAAATTGAGGAACAGCCGTGGGCTCGATGCAGCCTTATTCACTTACACCGTTCGTCCCTTGATGTGTTCACTTATTTTGTTCAAGTCTTCACTGAAGGTCTTTACCGAGTGACGGAGCATCTCAATTTCCTCGTCAGTCCATTTACTACAGATTAAGCGACACAAGGAGTTATGTAAAAATACGGCCAGCCATCTTTTTTATGCTTTTTATGGTAAAGCGATAGTGATGCAAAGTATTTAATTATTTAATTCCCAACTACACTTGTAAGCGTAAAATCTATAATACCTTTTTTATCCACGTGCATTGACAATTTGTAAAACGTATTAAAGGGAATACAAACGTAAACAATATTTAAGTTATCTTTATATAACGTAGGTTAAATATAACATAAGAGAAGCTAATAATATCTTCGTGTATTTCTTAATCGCAACGAATGATAAAGTTATAGCAATAAAAATTTTCAAACTCAAAGGATGTACGCTAATATAGTACTTGGACAAAGCTGTAGATGCACGGTATTACGTTTCCGATTGGTTAATGCTTAAATACGTCAAACCACGTGACATTCTCCCGCGTTTCTCTAGAGTACATAGTTTCATATAAACTTAAGCGAAAGCATTAGACGCGCATTGCCTCTACTTATGACAAAAGGCGATAATACATATGTGTTTTATTTAATTACCCTGCTGGTGAGTCAGTCGTAGGGTGTAATTGCATCGTTAATTCTCCCAACTTGTTAAATGCTGCTCCGGCTGCGGTGAAAATTTCACCAACCTAAAACAGATAACGTTTAAAATGTTGATCAATTCGTCAGACATATGATTAATAACGATATATTTATTTTTTCAGGAATTTTCATCGAGGAACACAACTTATACTCGTCTATCAAACAATTTTCTCGAAGAAAGAATAAAAGAAAAATGTTAGAAGCACTCATAACCTAACCTTGTGTCCGCTTACAGACTCCATTGCTAGAGTACTCGAGGATAAAAGCACGTGACTCACGTAGAAAAAGGAAGACGAGCGGTGGGGAGGAACGACCATTAAATATTATATGGCGGGAAACTGCCTAAAATCGGCGACAATGGTTGCTTTTTTGCTTACCTTGCTCGCAGAATTCATGTCAGTTTGTTGTTATGCTGGTACTTCACCATCAGCGGAACAAACATTCGTACGGTATTGCCATCTCGCGTCGTTCTCAGAATCCTTCCCTTTAACAATTATAACCTCAACTTGTTTCGACTGCTTATCCTTTCTGCCTCTTTTTTCTCATCAAACTAACGAAGATTGTTGCCTTTAACTGAAATAATCATATCGATTCTCGTCATATTACACAGGAACTAATTACGAAAACATAATATAGTAATTTCGATATTTATAATGCACGGATTCACGTAGTACTGAAATATTTCGATATTCGCGTGATTACTTATCATTCGTCACTACAGTGGTGGACTATACTATACTTTTACTATACTTGTACTCTATTGTTGGAATAAAACTAACTTTTTGAATTAACTTACCGATATGTACACGTATCGCTGATTCATTTTGATTTATAAATATAACATACAACAATGTGTATGAAAATAATGAGATTAATTTAATAAATTAGGTTTAATCGTACAGAATAGAAAATAGGATGGGTATATGTGAAAGAAAATTTCCCAAATATTAGATCTTTGCTTTCCAAATACATCGTATGTATATCTCAAAGGTAGCTGTTATTTATAATAAAAACAAAAAAATACAATATATCTTACTGCCCAGTGCAAGGCAAAAGAATCTTCCAAATTTCAGACTCTTCTTCTGTAAATATAATATTGTAAGTGATATTATTTAAACCGATATTTAAGAATAATTACACACTGTTTATAATAAAGAAAATATTAAATATCTCGCATATTTGTAAATATATTTATACAGCGTGATATAATAATAAAATATATTTAAAAAACAGTTACCGGACCTATGATAGAGAGAGAGAGAGAGAGACTTAAAGCTATCAAAAATTATTTCAACCATCGTATTTTAATGTTTCCAATCGCATTCGCATAAAAAAAATCCGTCGTTCGGTCGTTTGACTTCAATTAACATAGGGAGTCTCATCGATCTTGGAAGCGATAGCTCACATCCTTTTATAAATTAATAGACTCCGTTTCCATTCATTGTTCTTGGTAACCGTGACTCTTCGAAAATTGCAAAATTCAGTCAATATGCGTTCAATATGCGCTACTGGATCGCCAGTGAGTTTCAACGTCTTCAATAATGGAAAATCTTCACCCTTTGAGCGTCTGAGCCTTCTCGACGCGTTTCTATAACATTTCCAAAGCTGAGGTTCTATCACGATCATGTTTGTGATCGAACAAGCCTTTTGCAAAAATTCCATCAGTCCTTGGTCCCCGTGATTCAAGTGGATCCACATCGTAACGGAGAAACAGAACACAACGTCGAAGCGCGACTTTTCCAATCGACGAAGATACTCGTCCAGTGTCCCATTACGATCCTCGATCAAAAAATCGAGACACTCGAAAACGATACGATTCGGCCGTGGATTGCGTTCCCGTGCCCGTTCGATTAAGATAGGATCGAGGTCTATGCCGAGCAAACGAATCTCCTTCGGTAGATCTTGATCGGTAGATAAGGTTTTCTCGAGGAAGTTGTGCAACGCGACTGTTAAATCCTGAAACCATTAATACGATTTGTGATTTTTACGCTCGTTCTCTGGTCAAGAAACCTCTTCTATGGCCCCGTATCGTTTTGTGAATTGATTTTGTACCACTAAATTACCAATACGATCGAAGTACGTTTGTTCAATGGAATTTTGAGAATTTTGCCTAATATTGCCTAAATATTGCCTAAATTAATAGCTTCTGTTAAGAAGGCTAAGGTATAACGTGTAATTATCCGATATAAAAATGAAATACTAGTTATTCACGATATAGACAACGATATCGACCGTTAGCTTCGATATTAATCGACGCAATCTCTAGTAAGTCATTGGTAAATTAAATGTATGCGTGTATCACCGATGAAACGAATGTTTCTCCTGTTGCTAAAAAGCATAGGGCCGGAAGGATTTCAGGAAGAAACTACGTTCCGAGCGATATTCGAAAAGGTATAACACCGTCTAAATTTAGGCGCTTGTCGTTTGTAACTTCGGATCACGGTCGACTCGTCCTATTTCGTCTGACAGCTGTTTCAGCCTTACCCCCGCGTTACAGCCAACGTCTAGGCCTACGTATTTCCGGTCCGGATGGGTCGAGTGCCACACGCCACACGGAAGTTGTCGCACGCGCTCTTCCGCAGGATGGAATTGGTAATAATTCATGAAGTTGCCGTGCCTGCTAGCGCCCGGATCCGTCTTACCTCTCCGTCTTTCCTTTTTTTCCGGAGATCGCGCTTCATTCTCCGACATTTTCCGAAATCTAAAGCAATTGATAATTAAACACCATAACCTACTTTAAACGCTCGTTGTTTAGAAAGACGTTGCTTAGAAAGATATTCGGTAAAACGACATAATGTTCTCCTTGTTTCGTACGGGTTAAAAAGATGGGAAGCGTACCGTGTTGTGTGTATTTTTGTTGTTAACGAGTTACCAAGAACCCTAGAAAATGTTATCTTATCACAGGTAATATACGGCTCGGAAGGACCTTCGATGTTTTAATATCACTTTTGCATGTACTTCGGTAATAATCTTCGATGTTTTTAGATAAAACGCGTCTATAATGTTTTTACGTACAAATTAGCCAACATCGGATAGATTCATCTTTAACGAAAGACGTTGTTATACGTAAAAAAAAGTTAGAAGAGACCGTTGGAAAATTTATTTGAAAGGAGACTTGTAAAAAGTGTAATTCCATCGTCGTAAAACGTTTCATAAATTACGACAGTTAACAACGAGAACGAAGATGTAGTTTTTTTTATCGTTATACGCTTCGTATACGCGCGTATATATATTCGTATGTATGTATTAAGCGTTAACTACGTTGTTCGGATATAGTTGCATAAGAATAGCACTCTTTGTCGAACATTTTTCAAGAAAGGTAGATTCTTTTCGAATATCGGTATAACGCACAATCTTGCCTGTATAAGAAGAGAAGTATGTCGAAAAGTATCGCCACTGTAATATTTCACGGATATTTCTACTTTTATTTGGATCGAGCTTCAAGAGGACAGAGTAGAAGTAGAAACGCAGTAAGATAATAAAACGCGATGGTAGACCGATCGTCGGTTTCTATCGAAACTTCATCATCCGTGAGATTAGATCGATGAACGAAAGAGGAGGACGAGGATGTTTAGTTGGTAATAACGATCTTAGCACGTAATACCGTCTGGACGGTGGTTTCGCAATACTTGGCGAGCATCGGTTAAAAACAATGCACAAGTAACCGCAAGACGGTCGTAAATACGCGATAAAGAGTGATAACGGAGAAGGAATGGGGGTCAGAGGCGTCGTAAGAGCGGAAGGATCGAAGAGATAATTCACCGGTGTCCACGACCCAAATAAATGCAGCCTTCGATCGCTGTGCTCGTGCTCGTGCTCGTGCTCGTGCTCGTGCTCTCGGCCACGAGGAAGGTCTGAGAAATCGATGATACATTGTCTTGCCATTCGCGGAGAAACTCACTTTCCCGACGGTGTTACTCGCAATATCTTTTGGATTCGTGTCTCGCTGTTGTAGATTTAAAGGAGGTGTTTCTTCCTTCGACTATTACCTGTAAATTTCTTTGTCATGATTTTATAATTTAATCAAAACAGACATGTTATAAGATAACGATCGACTGCCAAAGCTTCCGAAGTTTAACGATAGATGCCAAAGAAATCTAATTCTTCGTCGTTGCTGCTTGATACGTTTGCAATTTGTAAGCCTATCGCGTCGTTCGCGCGAAAAAAGGCAAATACGTTAAAAAATTCTTCGAAGGACAATTTCGGGAGAAGCGAACAAAGAAATATAAAGTAACATGAAGCAATTAAAATTATACGACGTATCTGTGTACACGAAGTTCGTCACGTCTTACTTTTTATTACTTTTCGTGCCCCTTACGAAATATTTTCTTGCGGACGTCGTCTTCGTCTACGTAAAACAACGATCAGATCCTCGTACTAAATCGAAAGCTAAAAACGCTTTCTATATCGAGCGACTATAACTGTATAAATTTCGTGACGCATCGTACGAGAGGAATTCCCGAGTAGCTAGTTTCCAGAGATTTCGGATATGGTCGGGTTGACCATAAAATCCACAAAGATCGAATAACCGATGTGTCGGGTGGACGAGCAGCACGAGCCCTGCTTCTTTGTGTTATTACTTCTGTTACTCGCTCTCTCTCTCTCTCTCTCTCTCTTTCTCTCTCTCTCCCTGACTCGCAGTCGGTAGCCAGCGCCATAAGGTAATCGACAAAGATAGGAAAGAGACAGAAGTAGGAAGAAGAAGAAGAAGAAGAAGAAGAAGAAGAGGGAAAAATAAAAGCAGGAGCGGAATAACTCGCAGAGGCAGGTGTTAGATGCATACGCGCACCGGTGCGGTCCAAGAACACGATGTCCATTCTCTACGGATCATGGGCCTGGTCGCGGCAATTTCCTCTTTCTTCGGCTATGGCAGATGCGCCTGTAGACCGGTGCAGAGGCATGCGGTACGAGATAACCAAGATTATACGATGGATACCTTAGACCTTAAAGCAAGCAAGCTGCCAGGGAGTATCGAGTCCCGTGCAGAGGCCACGTTTTTTCTGCCTACCCAGACAGGCCGCATTGGCCACCAAATATCGAAGTGTACGTGCACGCGTACGTATTTCACGCGAACACCGGAGTAGAATTACTTGGGATCGAAGAACGAGAAAATGCCTCGTTTCAGCGTCGTCGTCTCGGTTTCGGTTCTCTTCTGCATCGCGGCGATCCAGCGACGATGCTTTCTACGTAACTTTCTATGTACGTTCCTTCGGCTATCGCATAAGAATACGATATTCCAAGTAAATAGCCTGGCTACGCTAATAGCAAGTATTCGCTAAAAGCATTCCTCTATTCTGAAATCAGATACTTTTTGGATTTTGTAAAACGCTTTTGTAGAACGTTTGTACGAGAAACGTTACTCTTTCGTCGAAATTTCGCGAAAATTTGGCACCTCGTGCAACAGAAAGGAAGGTGGCCTCTTCGATCGTATTCTCGGCATATTTCCATTTAAAAAGACACGTGACCTCGGATGATCGACGAATACCTTACGAGGAACAGGCTGCCGCAACTCGTATCGCGTCTCGCCTTTTTCCTTCGACTCGTTGCTTAACGCGCAGAACGCGTAATAATACGCGCTGCTAATGAATTGGAAAATTACTTGGGGTATGCAGAATTCGGATTAACCCTCTCGTTTACTCGCTGGCAGGAAAGGTCAGAGCCGATCGCACCTTTTCGCTCGAATCCGAAACGTAGAAAATAATAATAGGAAAAGTAGAATGTTTTGACGACATCTTCTAACAACGTTAAGCGTTTTGTCGTCCGGTTTGATCTGATCGAACGATCGATGTTTTTTTTTCGGAATAGAAACGGAATACGACGACGATCGTAGAATCGATGACACGAGATAAAGAACGCGTTCAAAGGTAAAACAGAAGAAACAGAAAAATGGGCACGATCCCCGCTGAAAGGAATACGCTACTAAAAAATACAATAGCGATCGGTATCCGTGAAAATCGTCAAAGTACTCGAACCTTTACCATTCTTTCGTTTCGGAAATGTAATATCGATCGCTCTTTCCAGACCTGAGAATTATTTCCTCTCGCTATTATTCTGATTTACATATGTACGATGGCTACCCCTCTTGACTTTTCGTATTTTCGATATAAATAGATTATTTGGTGACGGTATGGCTAACATTTACTCGCGTAATGTACAACAGCGCGCTATATTTTACACAGTAAGGAAATGAAACGAGGCTTACGAAATGCGAATACACGATCGTTTAACTTGCGCGATCGTTTAACTTTAAGAAACGTTAGAAAGGGTTAACGAGTGTATAGTAGATGAAACGTACTCGGAAACGCTTTAAATCTCAATCCGCCGAAATCTTTTATCGAAAGCTGCGAACGTCGAGTCCCGTTTGTCTCTCGGTCGATAATTTACGAAGAAGCTGAGAAAGCCAGTTCGAAATTGACGCGGAACTCGTGTTTTCAAAAATGTCGCGACCGATTCCCTTCGATCCTCGAAACTCTAGTTCTATATCTGCCTCTGTACCGAGTCTCTTTCACCGTGTCTCTTTCACCGTACAATTTTAATCGATCGTTTGGACCGTTTAGTTTTGAAATTATGCTATCGCTGATCGTAAGCATCGTGCAAAACCTGTAATTCTTACGAAAGCCGCAAAGTACATGAATTTATACCGGTTAGTCACCCTATCCCGTCTCTAAGTAACTCGTAGTCCGTACTTCGTACCAGGTTAACACACGATCCAAAGGATTTGGCAACACACCATAGCCGGTTGGAGGCGATTTGGCAATTCGTACAGAAGCCAAACGTGCTCGTGACACGGCCGCGTTCGATATTTGCCAATACCCATCTACTTCGTGTCTCTGGACAATTTCTAGCAAGTCGAAACGCGGCACGTTGTTCTCGATGCATCGTTTTGTTTCTTGAGAAAATGTCATCGCCATCTTACCTTTCCGCGAATAACGTGACAGGAGGTGCACATTCTCGTTTGCATCGCTGATCCGCGTTTTTACGAGAATATAGCGTTACGAGTGTTCGTCGTTGCAACGATGTTTCGTAAAGAGAGACGATCGCTCTTCCCAATTCGGACCTTGTCCTTGTAGATGTACAGGCGTATTTAGAATTACGTCTGACGTTTGCCGTCGTAAAACCTCTCAACGTCGAATGTACACGACTCGCGTGACAAACTTCCTCTTCGATCTAACGATACTAACGATATAATTACAGCTGATAGGTACGAGACGAACGTAAGAAGGTAAATTCACGCGTATCGTATTTATTTTGGACGATCGCTCGGTACGTCGGACGAAACGACGAATTTCAGCAAACTATCGTGCTTTCGAGACGCGTAACTCGCGAAATGCGAATAAACAGGCTAGTTTTCAGCTACGAAGGACAACGAACCGAACGAACTCGTACGAACTCGTCGGTTCTATCGGACGATGCACGGTCGATGTTATTAGTCATCGTTCGTTACCGTCATCTTTGATACCGAAGCGAGAAACACCTCGAGACGTTCTAACGCGTTGCGACATTCTTTGGCTTGTGCTCCTTGTAGAGCACGTCATTGTACCCAATGACAGAAGTAACGTAAACAGATACGTTAGCGCGTATAATTGGAACTCGCCGGCAAACTTGACGAGATAATTTGCGTGTGATTACGTCGAAACGTAGCGCGAGTTGGTTGTAGGAATTTGTAAGTAACAGCTAATAACGAAAATAACACGTTCCAAATCATCAAATATTTTTATGCGCGCGTTGTATCGAACGTGAAATTGTATCTTGGTAATAAATTCTTCTACTTTCGTACGTGGTTATTTCCTTTTTCGTACGATTCGACCGTAACTTTTACTATGTTTATTTAAAAAAACAGCATTCGTTACTTTTGATCTATCCTAGCATCGTATTCGAGAATCACGTTGATAGTAGAGAACGTTTGGAAATAGCGATAAAATCCCTATCAACGCCATTGTGTAGTGACGCTACCGTTCCAGTTCGCTTGACTGTTTTCCAACAACACGTATGTATACATATAATCGATGATCGGGCATTCGTATAGATCGATGAGTCGTTAACTAGTAATTTTGACCAAAAGACAGAGAAACCAAAACCGGAAGAAACCGTGGACGAGCGTAATGGCCGCGCGGCAAAAGAATAGATACGTATTTCTGTCATGGGATGAGATGGGTTGGCCTGGGAATGACGAAGAATGGTTCGCGAGAGGGACAGCTGACGCCGGTGATCTCTCGTTCGATCCCTTTTCGTCGCTTGGCCCGAAATATCCGAAGAAAGCCCGTCGGCTTTCGAACCAGGTACGGCGAAACGTTGCCGGAAGTTGGGCGTAAAGCGATCCTCTCGCATCCGGCGAATCGAACGCCAGCGTTTTCTATGCCGAGGAAATCCGCTTTTCTCGGATTTTCCTATCGGACGGAACGAACCAGCGATCTCTAAAGACGACAAAAGGTGCGGCGTTTTTAAGCCGCTGGAGGTCGAAGCGAGACAAAGCGGCTGGGGATGCGTGCACCGTGTTTGTCACCTCGAATGGAGGAGAAGATCGGTATCGAACGTCTCGTATACGGAAAGCACGTGTTCGAACCCATTTGCCGGGGATTCTCCGCAAACACGACTTCGTTCGTGTTCGAGTTGTACTGCTTTTATCATCTTCTTTCCTCGGCAGTTTACCGTGCTGCGTTTGTCGCAGACGGGAGGGTCGGGCCTGATCGTTAATCCTCTACGAGTATAGGTCTGTTAAAGCGGATGTCCTTTCTCGGCGCTCGTAAAACCGTAAAACGGAAGTTTCTGCGGAATAGAGATTTTCGTTGTATTTACTCGTAAACGTTTTACGGACCTTATTAAAAAAAAATTGTAAGGCTCGAGTGCGATTCCTTGGATCTCTTCCGGTCGCGTTTTCGCCGTTTTTCCATTTATTTAAAGGAAACAAAATCGACGAATCTCCTCTTAGTCGAGAAACTTTTATCAAGCACGCTATTACGTCGGTCTATCCGTTTATTAGCGATACGAC